ATCACACGGACGCCCGCGATCCATCTGCGTTGGAGAATCTCACACTCGTCCGCTCTCCTCGCAGTCCGCGGGGCTTGTGAGCCCCCCTTAATGCTAATCAGTGGCCGCTCTCTGAGCACCTGGCTGATGGGAGCTATGCGTTGGGGGGGGGGGGGGGCTATAACCCTGAAAAAGCATTACTCAGTGTCAGCGCCTCTATCAGACATGAGTTGGTTGGAAAGGGGGTTGGGGGGCTATATAAACACCTGCCAAAGCCCGAAACGAAATAAATAACAAAGCCCATAGCGGCGCGAGGGCTAGCGTGGTGGGAATCGCCCCTCGACTTGAGCCCCTTTCAATAAAAAACTGAACTTACATTTTTTTTATGTTTTACCAGGTTAGACCCACATTGGCACGTTTTGAGCTCGTGACAAAGCTGACTTATTGGCTGTGACGGGTGGTGGTGGCGAGTTTTACGACGCATTTTTATTTACGCGATGTAACCCCACGAAAAAAGTTTATTAGAAACTCAACTAGGAACACGTACACACACCGAGCAAATGAAATCCCCGACTACTACTACCGAGCAACATTAAAAAAATAATACACGAATTAAGAAATGGCACGAAAACCAAAAGCAAAAACAATGTTAAAGTTACCACCACACATCCTAGACCACAATCCCAATTTGAAATAAGGGAGACCTAAACTGTAAAACTATTTAAATTTTACTAGGTAAGGGCCCTATGATTGCTATGTATATCTTTTTTTAGAAGCGACCTGGCTATCACAAATTATACGTCAACGACGTGGCTGATATCATCACGTGGAGATTTAAAGCAACAAATACTCTCGAAGCACGTGACGTTAATTCTAAATGTGGAGGGGAAAAACCGGAGCACCCAGAGAAAAATCCACGCGACCACGGGGAGAGAGAGACGCACACTCCAAATATACAGCAGGCGTCAGGGTCGGGATCGAACCCACGAACTCCTGCATACCAGGCGAGGTAGTTAACATCTCCGAGCCACCGCGGTGCCCTGATAATACATCAGCACGACTGAGCTGACTCGACCTCAGCGTTCTCCACTCATTTTATATGCAGGGGGCCACTGTCGCCAATAAGACATCATCAGTGCGAGGGCCGCCACATTTGAATCCATTGAAGTTTGACAGCAGCACGGTGATAATGGGGGGGGGGGGGGTGTTCTCACTCTTTGTGTATTGTCGGGGGGCCGCACTGAAGGCCACCAGGGGCCGCGGAGCCTTGCAATGAAGAACGTTGCTCAACCGCATGCTCGCACATCGCAATACACGTTCAGCTTTCGAGAAATTATCCTCCCCGGCGAGATGTTATCTCGCTCGCCTAGTATGCAGGAGATCGTGGGTTCCATCCCGACCCTGACGCCTTCTGTATATTTGGAGTTTCCGTGTCTCTCTCCCCGCGGTCGCGTGGATTTTTCTCCAGATCCTCCGAACACTCGTTTCATAATCAACAAATGATCAATGAGGCTTGTATATGCGTGTGTATTAATGACTGAAACTTAAAACGTAATTTAATTTTCACTACCAGAATCGTGATGAATACTTGATCTACTAGACTGTCCGTATCGACCCACAGACTGTGTTCAACCACTTCCTCACCTACTCACCCACTCACACACCCACCACACTGCAGCTCACAACAATACACTCACCCACTCGCTCACCTACTCACCCACTGACTCACCCACTCGCTTACCCACTCACCACGCTACAGCTCACAATAACACACTCACACACCCCCTCATTCATCTACTCATCCCCTGACCACACTACAGCTCACAACACACTCACCCACTTACTCAATAAATCACCCACCCACTCACCACACTGCACCTCACAACGACACACTCACACACCCCTTACCCATCCACTCACTCCTTAAATTACCCCACTCACCACACTGCAGCTCACAACAACACATTCACCTACTCATCCACACACACACTCGCTCACCCACTCACCACACTGCAGCTCACTTCTCTTCCTGCTTCTTCCCTCGCACCGCTCCACTTTGGAATTCCATCTCCCGTCATCGTCCCCCCCCCCCCTTCCCCCAAGAGTTAATAATAATTACGTTGTTTCTAATCAAGCGACCAGTCAACTCTCTGTTAAAACTCGGATCGTGCTGTGGGTTTTTTGCTGGCCACGTGGCATTTTGAGACTTTAAGGCCTGCAGCTGAGCAATTGTGTGCATAAAAGCCCTCAAATATGGTGAGCGTGTCTTCTGTAGGGTATTGTTTTACCTATTGATTTTTTCTTCTGCCAGCTGTTCACGTTCATTAGGTTGACTTGAAGAGCGTTGGTGAGATTCTCATCCTCCTGTCGTCGGTTTGTTTACGATTCAGATGACTGCAACAGCTCAACGATCATCTACTAAACAATTTTTTTTGCCAGGTAAGGCCCCACTGAACTACGACAGCTATTTTTTCAACAAAGTGGCTTATCATCATGTGGAGATTTATAGCAGCCGAATACTCGAAACGCGTGACGTTGATTCAAAATGTGGAGGGAAAAACCAGAGGACCCGGAGAAAAATCTACGCGACCACGGGAGAGAGACACACACACACACGCAAACTACAAATATACAGCAGGCGTCAGGGTTGGGATCGAACCCACGACTTCCTGTATAACAAGCGGGGTAGTTAATATCTCCTAGCCACCGCAGCGCGCCCATGCTCTCTGCTCGAGCTCACTCCAACAGAGAGAGCACTGGCACTCTTGGTGCTGTCTTAGGAATGGACTGCAGTGGAGCTGTGAGAGCACTGAGGGTAGTGGAGCATTGAGAGCAGTGAGAGAAGTGGAGCAGTGGAGCAAAGAGAGCAGTGAGAGTATTGGAGCAGTGAATTCAGTGCTGCAGTGTGAGCAGTTGAGTAGATAGAGCAGTGGAGCAGTGGAGTAGTGAAAGCAGTGAGAGCAGTGGAGCAGTGAAAGCAGTGAAGCAGTGAGAGCAGTGGAGCAGTGGAGCAGTGAGAGCAGTGGAGCAGTGAGAAGAGTGGAGCAGTGAGAAGAGTGGAGCAGTGAGAGCAGTGGAGCAGTGAGAGCAGTGAGAGCAGTGAGAGCAGTGGAACAGTGAGAGCAGTGGAGCAGTGAGAGCAGTGAAAGCAGTGAAGCAGTGAAGCAGTGAGAGCAGTGGAACAGTGAGAGCAGTGGAGCAGTGAGAAGAGTGGAGCAGTGAGAAGAGTGGAGCAGTGAGAAGAGTGGAGCAGTGAGAGCACTCAGAACAGTGGAGTAGTAAAGCAGTGAGAGCAGTGGAGTAGTGTAGTAGTGAAAGCAGTGGAACAGTGAGAGCAGTAGAGCAGTAAGAGCAGTGAGAGCAGTGAAAGCAGATGAGCAGTGAGAGCAGCGGAACAGTGAAAGCAGTGAGATCAGTGAGGGCAGATGAGCAGTGAGAGCAGTTGAGGAGTGAGAGCAGTGGAGCAGTGAGAGCAGTGAGAGCAGTGAGAGCAGTGAGAGCAGTTGAGCAGTGAGAGCAGTGGGACAGTGAGGGCAGTGAGTGCAGTGGGACAGTGAGAGCAGTGAGAGCAGTGACAGCAGTGGAGCAGTGAGAGCAGTGGGACAGTGAGAGCAGTGGGACAGTGAGAGCAGTGGAGAAGTGGAACAGTGAGAGCAGTGGGACAGTGAGAGCAGTGGAGCAGTGGTACAGTGAGAGCAGTGGAACAGTGAGAGCAGTGGAGCAGTGAGAGCAGTGAGAGCAGTGGAACAGTGAGAGCAGTTGAGGAGTGAGAGCAGTTAGAGCAGTGAGAGCAGTTGAGCAGTGGGACAGTGAGAGCAGTGGAGCAGTGAGAGCAGTGGGACAGTGAGAGCAGTGGAACAGTGAGAGCAGTGGGACAGTGAGAGCAGTGGAACAGTGAGAGCAGTGGAACAGTGAGAGCAGTGGGACAGTGAGAGCAGTGGAACAGTGAGAGCAGTGGAGTAGTGAGAGCAGTGGAACAGTGAGAGCAGTTGAGGAGTGGGAGCAATTGAGCAGTGAGAGCAGTTGAGCAGTGAGAGCCGTGCAGCAGTGAGAGCAGTGGAGCAGTGAGAGCAGTGGAGCAGTGAGAGCAGTGAGAGCAGTTGAGCAGTGAGAGCAGTTGAGCAGTGAGAGCAGTTGAGGAGTGAGAGCAGTGAGAGCAGTGAGAGCAGTTGAGGAGTGAGAGCAGTAAGAGAGTATTGGAGTCGTGACTGCAGTGCCGCAGTGTGAGCAGTGGAGGAGCTGTCCACCTGTTTGGTGGTGCTGAAGCGCGCTGACCACGTACACGAGGTCTTGCTACCAGGGCGACTGGGCACCCCCAACTACCCCCCCCCTCCCCCCACCACACACTAAGCCAGAGATCCACCTTATAGCCTTAACAGACTGTTGGGGCAAGTGCTGTAAGAAAGCAGCACCTATGAAGGTCGGCACGGCACGCGAGGGGTTGTGGGTAGGTGGTCAGCACCACGCCCGACCGCCTTTGTCTCCCCAGTGGCGATGTTTACACACCACCAAAGGTACTCATTAAAGGCCGAGTTGATCTCCGGGAGGAGGCCCAGGACCGGTTTAGATAATCGTCACTGGTGTTGGTCGTGAGCAAGAATCAAACTCCGGTCGCACCCCACACTCCCCTCACACATCCCACTCCTTACACAATCTACTTCCCACACACACCACACACACCACATACAACCTCAATCACACTCCACTCCCCACACACCACAACCACCCCAATCACATTCCACTCCCCACACACCACACACACCCCAATCACACTCCACTCCCCACACACAACACACATCACAATCACACTACACTCCCCACACACCACACACACCCCAATCACACTCCACTCCCCACACACCACACTGCCCTAGCCGAGCTGTGCGGGTTTGCGCTCCCCTCTCGAAACCAGTAAACCGGAAGAACATCTCAGGGGCGCGAGCTAGAGACAGACGGCGCTGTGCGCGTGAGCCGAGCAGGAGCAGCAGGAGCAGCAGGGGCAGCAGGAGCAGCAGGAGTACCGGCACCGTCACCGTGGCCACCTCGGCCTCCACCGCTGTCGTGTGCTGCTGTTGTTGTTGTGCCGTAGTGGCGGCGCGTGGTAGCGGTGGCCGCACGCCCGCCCGCGACACGAGCATGACTCCTCGTGTCGTGCGCGCTCTTCGTCCCGGCCAGCCAGACGAGGAGCTGTTTAAGAGTGCGCGCGTGTAGCAGCCCCTCGTGCTGTGCGCGTGGTACCAGCCGCCTGGTGGCCGTGGTGGGTCGGAGTCTGCGCTTCTCTACGGATACATTGATTCGTCATCCGGATTAGATTTCGCTTTCGTCCGCTGTCGGTCGCCCGCTGACTGCAGCGGCTGTGGGCTGCCGCGACTGCCGCGTGGTGGATCGCACCGATGCAGTCCATGGACCGTGGGTTTGGAATATGCGGTAGGAGATTGAGACTCGCTAAAGCTCGGGCATGGTGCTTGGAGCGCAGCATCTGCAGCAGCAGCAGCAGTGGGGATTTAGCGGAGCTGTACCCGCACTGAGCCACTGTTCTCCGCGTGTGCGCAGCAGCAGCATCATCATCCGCAGCAGCATCATCATCATCCGGAGCAGCAGCATCAGGAGCAGCAGCAGCATCCTCATCATTCGTGGCAGCAGTAGTAGCAACATCAGCAGCAGCATCATCAGGAGCAGCATCATTCGTCGCAGCGGTAGCAACAATATCAACATCAGAAGCACCGGCAGTCGCAGCAGCATATCATCATCTCTAGCACCAGCAGCATCATCAGTCATCGTCATTAGTCGCCACAGGAGCAGAAAACATCAGCAGCATCATCAGTCGCAGCAGCACCATCAGTAACATCGTCAGTAGCATCATCATATTTATGAGCAGCAGCAACATCAGCAGCATCAGTAACAGCAGCATCAGTAGCAGCATCGTTAGTATCAGTAGCACCATCAGCCTCACGACAGAAGGGGCCGCAGCGAGTGTACGGTGTGTGTGTGCGGTGTGTGTGTGTGCGGTGTGTGTGTGTACGGGGTGTGTGTGTGTGCAGAGTGTATGTGTGTGTATACAGTGTGTGTGTGTGCGAGCGTGTCCCGCCCGGACCTCTCTCTGTGTTGATTGTTTTTGGCCACGCTTTGCTATTTCAATAATTCAGGCGCCACTGCTGCCTGCGCTCGCCGTACAACGTACTGCGAATACGAGAGAGTGTGTGTGTGTCTATGAGAGTGTGTTTGTGTCTATGAGAGAGTGTGTCTATGAGAGCGCGTGTGTCTATGAGAGTGTGTGTGTCTGAGAGTGTGTGTGTCTGAGAGTGTGTGTGTCTATGAGAGCGTGTTTGTGTCTATGAGAGAGAGTGTGTCTATGAGAGCGCGTGTGTGTGTCTATGAGAGAGTGTGTGTGTGTGTCTGAGTGTGTGTGTCTATGAGAGAGTGTGTGTGTCTGAGAGAGTGTGTGTGTTTATGAGAGCGTGTTTGTGTCTATGAGAGTGTGTATGTCTATGAGAGAGTGTGTGTGTCTTCTGAGAGCGCGTGTGTGTCTATGAGAGCGTATTTGTGTCTATTAGAGTGTGTATGTCTATGAGAGTGTGTGTGTCTATGAGAGTGTGTGTGTCTAACAACCGCCATTCGCCACCCAGTGGCGGTGACGTCACCACGGCGCTTGTGCCAGGCTATGTGCACGTTAAAGCCACGTGAAGGAGGTCGACTGACGGTTGTTGTGTGTCTATGAGAGCGTGTTTATGTCTATGAGAGTGTGTGTTCTATTGGAGGGAGGGGTAGTGTAGTAGTTAGCGCGCTGCGCTACGAACCTGGCAACCCGGGTTCGGTTCCCGCTCACGGCCAACACCAATGACGAATATCTGAACCGGTCCTGGGACTCCCACCCACCCCCTGCTGTGCTGTGCCGTGCCGGCCTTCATAGGTACTCGCGAACAGCACTTGCCCCTACAGTCTGTTACAGGCTATACGGGGGATCTTTGTCTTTGTGTGTCTATGAGAGAGTGTGTGTGCCTATGCGCGTGTTTTTGGTGGCATTGTTTTGTATATTTCACAGGTTTTTTTTCTCCGAGTGCAGCGTTTCACCCTACATGCTACACGGACATTAGCACTACGGGTATTTCGGCAGGAAAGTTATCTCTCGTTTTTATTATAATTGTCCAGGTTTTTATTTGCAGCGATGTGTTTTGTGTGTGTGTTTTATTTTAACGTCCGCCACTGCGCTATTTAAACCTCGATGGCTTCGTCTTCAATAGAATTGGGCCGGCGTACGTAATTGCATCGTAATCATCGTCATTCGTCCGGATGTCGCCCGTTGTGGCGGTAGCAGTGGTGGTGGTGGCGGTGGTAGCCGCGCTATAAAAGTGAGAAACGCAAGCTGCCTTTGCCCCTCGGCGTCCCGTGGCCATGGACTGCGGTTGAGGTGGGCCCCCCTCTCACACCCCCCACACCCAATCCAACCCGTCAACCCCGCCTCTCTCTCGTGGCTTGGCCACGGAAAACTCAATTTCGAAGAGCGGGCTCCGGGCCGGCCACATGTGCTTCGCGTCGAGGCGAGTATCCATGCGGCGGGCGAGGCGACAAGCGAACGGCATGGTCCTTCTGCTCGCGACGCACCTCGTGGCGGCCAACATGAGCGGCGGCGGCGGCAGCGGCGGAATCGACCCTCCTCCCGGGAAGTGCCCGCAGCGCCAACTCGGTGTGCCCCTACCCACTGCGCATAACAAGAGGAGGCATCGACACGTCGTCAGCGGCGGCGGAGGAGGAGGAGGAACAGGCGGCGGACATCACCACCACCACCCGCACCGCGATGCGCCGGCGATGGTCGCTTGTGCGGGCTGCCAGAACGAGTGGGCGGCTTCGTTCCCCAGCACCCCCTCCTTGGAGCAGCTCGGCGCAAAGAAATGCGGTGGAGCTGGAGCTGGTGGAGCTGGTGGTGCTGGTGGCGGAGGTGGTGCTGGTGGTGGTGGCAAGACGCAGCACGCGGCCGACACGTGCTCGGTCAGCAGCAGCGACAGCAGCAGCCACTCGCCGCTGTGTCGCATCTGCTTCCAGGGCCAGGAGCAGGTAAGCGACCCCTCGCGACCCCTTGCGACCCCTCGTGACCCCAGAATCGTGGTCGGTGCGGCAGCCACGCAGCGCTCCCGAGTTGGAGGGGGGACGCAACACCCATCACGCACGGTCGCATGCGGTGCGCAATAAGTTGAACGTACACGCGTAAATACATACGGCACGGCCAACGGTCCTTTAGCGGGAACCAGTCTGTCTGTGTGATAGATGACATTCTGTCTGTGTGATAGATATCAGTTTGTCTGTGTGATAGATACCAGTCTGTCTGTGTGATAGATACCAGTCTGTGTGATAGATGACATTGTGTCTGTGTGATAGATACCAGTCTGTATGTGTGATAGATACCAGTCTGTCTGTGTGATAGATGCCAGTCTGTCTGTGTGATAGATACCAGTCTGTCTGTGTGATAGATACCAGTCTGTGTGATAGATCACAGTCTGTCTGTGTGATAGATACCAGTCTGTCTGTGTGATAGATGCCAGTCTGTCTGTGTGATAGATGCCAGTATGTCTGTGTGATAGATACCAGTCTGTCTGTGTGATAGATGCCAGTCTGTCTGTGTGATAGATACCAGTCTGTCTGTGTGATAGATGCCAGTCTGTCTGTGTGATAGATACCAGTCTGTCTGTGTGATAGATACCAGTCTGTGTCATAGATCACAGTCTGTCTGTGTGATAGATACCAGTCTGTCTGTGTGATAGATGCCAGTCTGTCTGTGTGATAGATGCCAGTATGTCTGTGTGATAGATACCAGTCTGTCTGTGTGATAGATGCCAGTCTGTCTGTGTGATAGATACCAGTCTGTCTGTGTGATAGATACCAGTCTGTGTGATAGATGCCAGTCTGTCTGTGTGATAGATACCAGTCTGTCTGTGTGATGGATACCAGTCTGTATGTGTGATAGATACCAGTCTGTCTGTGTGATAGATACCAGTCTGTCTGTGTGATAGATGCCAGTCTGTCTGTGTGATAGATGCCAGTCTGTTTGTGTGATATATACAAGTCTGTCTGTGTGATAGATACAAGTCTGTCTGTGTGATAGATACCAGTCTGTCTGTGTGATAGATGCCAGTCTGTCTGTGTGATAGATGCCAGTCTGTCTGTGTGATAGATGCCAGTCTGTCTGTGTGATAGATGCCAGTCTGTCTGTGTGATAGATACAAGTCTGTCTGTGTGATAGATACAAGTCTGTCTGTGTGATAGATACCAGTCTGTCTGTGTGATAGATACCAGTCTGTCTGTGTGATAGATGCCAGTCTGTCTGTGTGATAGATGCCAGTCTGTCTGTGTGATAGATACCAATCTGTCTGTGTGATAGATACCAATCTGTCTGTGTGATAGATGCCAGTCTGTGTGTAATAGATGCCAGTCTGTCTGTGTGATAGATGCCAGTCTGTCTGTGTGATAGATACAAGTCTGTCTGTGTGATAGATACAAGTCTGTCTGTGTGATAGATACCAGTCTGTCTGTGTGATAGATACCAGTCTGTCTGTGTGATAGATGCCAGTCTGTCTGTGTGATAGATGCCAGTCTGTCTGTGTGATAGATACCAATCTGTCTGTGTGATAGATACCAATCTGTCTGTGTGATAGATGCCAGTCTGTGTGTAATAGATGCCAGTCTGTCTGTGTGATAGATGCCAGTCTGTCTGTGTGATAGATACAAGTCTGTCTGTGTGATAGATACAAGTCTGTCTGTGTGATAGATACCAGTCTGTCTGTGTGATAGATACCAGTCTGTCTGTGTGATAGATGCCAGTCTGTCTGTGTGATAGATGCCAGTCTGTCTGTGTGATAGATACCAATCTGTCTGTGTGATAGATACCAATCTGTCTGTGTGATAGATACCAATCTGTCTGTGTGATAGATGCCAGTCTGTGTGTGTGATAGATGTCAGTCTGTGTGTGTGATAGATGTCCGTCTGTCTGTGTGATAGATAACAGTCTGTCTGTGTGATAGATACCAGTCTGTCTGTGTGATAGATAACAGTATGTCTGTATGATAGATGCCAGTCTGTCTGTGTGATAGATAACAGTTTGTCTGTGTGATAGATAAAAGTCTGTCTGTGTGATAGATACCAGTCTGTCTGTGTGATAGATAACAGTCTGTCTGTGTGATAGATACCAGTCTGTATGTGTGATAGATGCCAGTACCAGTTTGTCTGTGTGATAGATAACAGTCTGTCTCTGTGATAGATGCCAGTCTGTCTGTGTGATAGATGCCAGTCTGTCTGTGTGATAGATACCAGTCTCTCTGTGTGATAGATACCAGTCTGTCTGTGTGATAGATACCAGTCTGTCTGTGTGATAGATGCCAGTCTGTGTGTGTGATAGATACCAGTCTGGCTGTGTGATAGATGCCAGTCTGTCTGTGTGATAGATACCAGTCTGTCTGTGTGATAGATACCAGTCTCTCTGTGTGATAGATACCAGTCTGTCTGTGTGAATGATGCCAGTCTATCTGTCTGTGTGATAGATGCCAGTCTATCTGTCTGTGTGATAGATGCCAGTCTATCTGTCTGTGTGATATATGCAAGTCTGTCTGTGTGATAGACACCAGTCTGTCTGTGTGATAGATACTAGTCTGTCTGTCTGTGTGATAGATAGTGCTGTTTGTTGTTGGGCATTTGGGCCTACGCTCAGCAACTGTCATAAAACAACCAAGCAAATTTTCTGTGTCTTCTGTGGGGATATTTTTGTTGTTAAATGTATAGTTTATTTTGTGTGTGAGAGTTGTGCATATCAATGAGGTATCCTCGAAGAGTGTTGGTGAGATCCTCATCCTCCTGTTGTCGGGTCGTTTACGATTCAATTGGCTGCAACAGCTCTCACTCCAGCAGAGGACATGGGCACCCTCGATGCTGCCTCTGAGCCCTGGGAACCGACAGCAGAGAGACAGCGAGAGATATCAGCCTCACGCGGTTAGGCCTATTAACACATATGACAGGTTTACTTTACCGCAATGTAACCTGGATTTGAACTTACGTCAGCACTAATGGTCGGCTCGCCTGCTGCTGCTATGCACACTCGGGACGTGACGAGCATTGCACCGCAAAGAGATTTTTCGTGTTCATTGCACAGGAACACGCGGAGTACCTGCCGCTTGTGTCCCTTCTCAACACCACGCAAGGTTCTGTGCCTGTGTTTGGGACGTGGTTGGGGCGTGCCCGTCTTTGGGACGCGCCGCTGTTTGGGACGCGCCGCTGTTTGGGACGCGTCGCTATTTGGGACGCGCCGCTGTTTGGGATGCGTTGCTGTTTGGGATGCGCCGCTGTTTGGGACGCTTCACTATTTGGGACGCTTCACTGTTTGGGATGCGCCACTGTTTGGGATCTGTCACTATTTGGGACGCGCCGCTGTTTGGGACGCGCCACTGGAGTGTGCGTGTGTGACTTGCTCCGGTTCCGCGAGTCGCTCACATTCACATTCATTGCGACGATGGCCCCAACACGAGGAAGAGCCCCAACACGAGGAAGAGCCCCGACGAGCCGCGTGAAGGCGACGCCAATGGGTTCCTGCACAAAGGGCCGAGCTCCGTCCAACAGCGGCGTTGCTGCTCTCTGCGTGCGTGCTGAGTGCCGCGCCGGGCTCATCTCCTGTCGGGGCACCGGGGCCTCTCTAATTGCCACTGCGATGTTCGCGAGATGCTGCTTGGCTCGCTGGCCTCCTGGCTGGCCTCCTGGCTGGCTGGCTCAGTGCTTGCTGTGACTGTCGCATGCACCTGCTCCCTTTGCCCGTCGCTTACAATCAGTACCGCACGTACAATTTGGCAGGCCCAAATCGATGCTTCATTTACAACGCAAGAAGTCGTGCAAAACAATTGCGTTGCGGTTAACCTCCGCGATTAATTAAATAGAGCTAATTGGGTCTCGGACTCACTATAAATCAGGCTATTTTATTGTTAGTCAATTAAATAATTGACCAAGCAAGCAGCATAACTCGTCACCTAATTAGTTGTTGCGCCGTGTCATTGCTACCCCACGGGAGTTTTTGTCAGCGCTGTAGGTTGTCTCACCCCCCGTACCCCCACGTTCCCCCCCCCCACGTTCCCCCGTACCCCCACGTTCCCCCGTACCCCCACGTTCCCCCACGTTCCCCCCCCACGTTCCCCCGTACCCCCACGTTCCCCCGTACCCCCATGTTCCCCCGTACCCCCACGTTCCCCCACGTTCCCCCGTACCGCCACGTTCCCCCGTCCCCCCCCCGTTCCCCCACGTTCCCCCGTACCCCCACGTTCCCCCGTACCCCCACGTTCCCCCACGTTCCCCGTACCGCCACGTTCCCCCGTACCCCCACGTTCCCCCACGTTCCCCCGTTCCCCCACGTTCCCCCACGTTCCCCCGTACCGCCACGTTCCCCCGGTCCCCCACGTTCCCCCACGTTCCCCCACGTTCCCCCGTTCCCCCACGTTCCCCCGTTCCCCCACGTTCCCCCACGTTCCCCCGTTCCCCCACGTTCCCCCGTTCCCCCACGTTCCCCCGTACCGCCACGTTCCCCCGTTCCCCCACGTTCCCCCGTTCTCCCACGTTCCTACGTTCCCCCGTACCCCCACGTTCCCCCGTTCCCCCACGTTCCCCCGTACCCCCACGTTCCCCCGTACCCCCACGTTCCCCCACGTTCCCCGGTACCGCCACGTTCCCCCGTACCCCCACGTTCCCCCGTACCCCCACGTTCCCCCGTTCCCCCACGTTCCCCCACGTTCCCCCGTACCCCCACGTACCCCCACGTACCCCCACGTTCCCCCGTTCCCCCACGTTCCCCCGTACCCCCACGTTCCCCGGTACCGCCACGTTCCCCCGTACCCCCACGTTCCCTGAGTTAAACGTTCGTGCTGGGTTTGTTTTACCGGAGAAAAAATAAACCGTGAGGGAGTCTCGTGAGGTCAAAACAGCATTCAGCACCGTGTCGGGATAATTGTAATCAGCCAAAGGAGACCTTTCCCAAGGCACTGTGAATGATTGTTTGTACGTACGCATGTTGAACCTCTTTCACACCGTAC